AGAAAGAAAGGAAGGAAGGAAGGAAGGAAGGAAGGAAGGAAGGAAGGAAGGAAGGAAGGAAAGAAGGACAGAAGCAAGCTAATAATTTAATGTTCCTTTCTCGGGACAGAGAGGAAGACACGATTTTGTTTCTTCTCTCCCTAGTTACAATATATATACAATAGAGCACAACTCACTACAAAAAAAGAAGAAAGAGATTTTTACCAAGATTCCTTCTTCAGAAAATCACATAATACATCTGTTCAAGTAAGAACAAATTTAATGATGCAGGAAAAAAAACCTAAATGTTTAATAAACCATGGATTAAATAAACAAAAACAGTACATTTTTGGCCCAAGATGCTTTGCCAGTACTACAGAATCCAGGATTCCAAAGGCCATCCCTGTCTTACTAGAAAAACGTGTTCTAAAAACATTGTGAGGCATAGTGCAGGAGCTTAGAGAGAGAAGAGCCAGCTCTCCTGTGTGGCCGAAAGTAACATCCATAGATGACACTTGATCCTGATGCAGTGGCGGAGGGAGAAGGGACTGGATGGCTTTGTGCAGGTGTCTAGTGAGCATGCACCAAGACTGACATCCTTTCAGGGTCTAGAGAATACATGGGGTGATAACAGTAGGATGTCTGGTGGGGGCACTGAGAGAGCTGAGCTAAAACGTGGAATGAGGCCAGACTCCATGATACTAGAGTGAAGGGGTAGGTGGCAAGTGGGGGTGGGGTGTCTACCCAGGCTCACAGTGTGCAGGCATCACACACCATTATCCTACTGAACACTACACTATGCAATGAAAGTAGACAAAGTCCCTTAACAATGAGTTTAGTCAGTTCCCCAAACTAACCTTCAAGTTTAATGATTTGCCCAAAATTATATAGTTAGAGCCAACACTTTCTTATCTAAGTTTATGCTCTTAACCACGTTTCTGGGCAGTGTCTCAGAAAGATCTCTCTCATGCTAGTGAGAATGCTGGATTGCGGTGAGGAAAGAGCTGAGGTGGAGACTACCAAAGGTGACTGCAATACCTAACCAGAGGGGAATCCATGAGGGGTCCTGCACTACTGTAGTGAGGACAGGCTGAGGAGGCAGGGATGGTTCCAGAGAGAGTGCAAGGATAAAAGAGGCAGAACTCATTCTGGAGACAAGTGAAAAGGAGGTGAAAGTGAAAATGAGGAAGAAAGCAAAATGATTTCTGAGACCCAGAATTCCCAAAGAGAAACAGGAATGGGAAAGAAAATCAATTCAGTGTGAATTATGTGAGTCTAAGAAGCCTGCAGGATATTCATGCAAACATGTTCTGGAAATGGAGATGAATATGAAACCTGGGAATGAGGACAGGGCAAAAATACTATATTTGAGCAGTCTCAAATACAAAAAAAAAAAAAAAAAGACCCTGTGTGAGAGAATCATGGTGAATGATGCTTCCTTTTGAGGCAGAAGAAGGGAGAAAATCATCAAAGCAAGATAAGAGAACAACCTGAAACCTAAACAGAGAACCACAAGGATGGGACTCAGGAAGTCTAAGAAGGTAGGCATCAAAGGCTTCTGAAATAATACAATATTTTAACTCTAATCACCTTCTGTGTAGAATACCAGAACTTACTCCTTGTGACTGGGACACTGTGCCACCGTCTCTACCCTTACCTCCCACCCAGCTGTCCTCTGCCCCCTGCAGCCTCTGGTACACACTATTCCACTCTCTACAAGCTCAACGAGCTCCACTATTCAAGATTCCACAGATGAGTGAAAGCTTGCAGTTTCTGTCTTTCTGTGCCTTATTTCACTTAGCAGAATGATCTCCAGGACACGTGTATGAATGTATCAAGACATCACACTCTACACCTCATAAAAATGTGTAACTATCTGTCAACTGAAAAGTAAAAATACAGCAAAGTAATTACTGGTGAGAAAAGAAAAACAAAAGCCACTGAGAGCTGCTTAGGATAAGAAGGGTAACTGATTTTGACCTTTGTCGAGCTATTTCCACAGTAACAGAGTCAGATACCAGACTGCTGACATTTCTGGAAGGAAGAACTGAAGCGGGGGCTTGGAGCTAATGTAGACAAGTTTCCAGAGTTAGCTAACAATGAAGGTGAAGAAAGATCGAGGAAGGATTTCTGGGTTTTTTGTAATTGTGGTCATTTGTTTGTCTTTTAATACATCTGTGAGATTTTAGAGACCTGAATGACTATACATTCAAAAACATGGAAGATGGGGGTGAAAGCTTCCTAATTGGGATCACTGAGATCACAGCCTCCACAGGCAGCATAAGATTCCATCAGTAACCATTTCTCGAGTGTGTGACACATGCAAGGAACTATGCTAACCCTGGGAGAGCCCAAGGTCCAGGAGGGAGGTCAGACCACTCACCTCCTGACTCAGATGACCCAATGTAGCTAAGTCATAGAAGGAAATCCTGGGAAGGGTGCCCTGGGGCCTCCGTGAGAGTTGATGGCCATGCTGAGTACTAAAAGGTGTTCAGTGTTCATCTGGGCTGTGAAGAGGTACCCAGGAAGATGTGTGAAAATGCACAGGGGATAAACTGAGTTAAGTACACACAAACTACTAGTACAGAAGAGCACAGGGAGGGATGTGAAGAAGTAAGAGATGTGGCTGGAAATGCAGGGAATGGCCCAGGTCATGAAGGGCTTGGGAAATTCCACAAAAGAGCTGACATTTGGTTTCTAAGGCAATGAAGAGCCATGGAAATGTTTTGAGCTCGGAAGTGACATCATCAGATATATGTTTTTGATTTATTTTATTTTTGGTACTGGGGATTGAACCTGGGGGGCTCTACCACTAACCTACATCCCCAGCTCAATGTTTTTTTGCCCCTGAGACAAGACTTGCTGAGTTGCCCAGGATGGCCTTGAACTTGCAATCCTCCTGCCTCAAACCCCTGAGTAGCTGGGATCACAGGTATGCCTCACAGCACTTGGCCTCAGACTACCAAAATAAGGACAGAAGGAGATATGATAAGTACCCCAGTCAACCCAGGATGTTGGGAATGGAGGATAAGGGACAGGAGAAAATAGAGAATTATGTATGAGGCAGACTCCCCCTAACAATTCAGTGGACTTGACAGAGTGCAGAGGAATAGTGAGACCTCTTTAAGCTAAGAGGAAAAGAAAATACCTACCTGCTGGTAGTAATCCACATAAGTAATCTGAGAGCCATCACGCCTCTGAAAAGTATGTGTGGGCTTCACAGACCAGTCAATGTCATCAATGCGATAGGTTTTGTTATTGTATCTGGCAAATGGAAAAAAAACCTTTTAATAAAGTTTCCAAGTCATCTCAGCTAAGCAGTTACTCCATCACACTTTTAATTCAAAGTATAAAATATGTTCCAGAATATCAGAAATTAAGACACAGAAACACTTAAGAGTCACTTATTTCTTGTTTTAATTAACGCTCTTCTTAGATTAAAGCTGAGAAGAGCATTAACTTATCAGTACACAGGAAGATCTCTAAATTCCAAAGAAACTCACAAGAAAGTCATTAGACTGCAATCTGTTTTGCTCACTGTTAAAATGCTGTACATTCAGGTAAACCATTCTTCAATGTTCGAATGCTGAAGCATTGCTCAAAACTTTCCTGTTGGCTTCAGGTGTCACTCAGATTTTTTGAGCTCCCAGATTGTCTTTCTGGTAAAAAACACCAATGCAGGCCGACTGACCAGCAGTTGTAGCACCCTGCTTAACCTCCCATCTGGGCTGGTCCTTGGCAAAGCTGCAGAACAGGTCAGCTAGGATCATTCTAAGCTCTTTCTCCCCTCCAGGAGAAGGGCCTGGAATGTCCTCTCAAATACCCCAACCTGCGAGCAGAAACCTCCAAGGCAGGTTTCTCCAGAGCTCTGGGCACCTTACAAGATGACTGAAAGAGCATGGATAAACTAATCCATCAAGATCATGACAGGAGGATAAGACAATTCAACCATCCCACCCCTCTGCTATGCAACCAGAAAAACAACTTTAGGAGGAAATTCCAAGACAGAAAAGGAGAAGGCTAATATGTCCCTTAAAAATAAAAAATAAAATAATTTAAAAAAAAACTTTTTGGATTGGCATCAGTATATGGTGAGCTTTTTAGTACTTAGAAAGTCATTTAATCTGCCTGCCTTTAATTCAACGTGCACTGTTGGCAAATTATACTGCAAAGAAGCAAAATATGGTCTCAGCCTAAAAGACCACAGAATCTTTTGAAGAAGTTGAGGCACGGACTTCACATTCTGTGCTATCACATAATAAAATTCAATAAAATGGACATAAGGAGTGGCTCAACTGAGGGGGCAAGTGGAGGTGTCAGGAAGATCAGAGCTGGATTTTATGAAGATGGAAACTTAAAAGGCAGAATTTGGAGTGGGGAGAACAGAATGAGAATTTGAGATCATGTCAGTTTGAGAAAGTTGAGAATGACACATAAGGAAGTCTAACTCAAGACAATTTGAGAACAGCCAAGTCTTCTAAACCAATTGATCAGACCTGTGCTCCAACCTAAGTTCCAATGAACTTCCTGTTCCCAAACTCCATAGATAATTCATTCTCTGGAGAAGATTCACTTAGATGTAGACTTTTACCTTGTAAGGACAATGAGTCCTATCAGTTGTTTCTCACATGTCTGGGTGAAGCAAGACACACCAGTTCTGTAGCAGAGATCAGTCATGAATTCCAGAACAGTCTCATTCCGGAGGACTTTATAACTCACATCAGCACTAAGCAGGAGCCTGTTTTCAAAGTATGATACAGAAATAGCAAACCCAGGCCAAAGGGATAATCTGCAAAAAACAGATAAAAAGAAAAAAATTTTTAAATTAATATTTAAGGTGTTAGAACAGAAAAACAGTAAAGATTTTTAAGTGATTTTTCATTCTAATTCTCTAGAGGTAATTTTTTCTTTAGTGAGATTTCTTCCAGTTGCTGACTAAAACTTAAGTTGTTTTTAGCTGATGTGTCTTTAAATACATATTTAGAGTAAACACATATTTAGGACATTGTAGGATGTTTAGCAGCATCACTGTCTCTACCTGCCAGCACTTCAATCACTCCACCTGATTCTGTCCTTTATGCTCTTCTCCCCTTGTTTGATTATCTGTCTTTGGGCTACCAGTGGTCTTTCTGTCTTTAGCCTGACCACAACATTTTGGAGAGGTGAGTACCAACCAGTTCAACCCATGACCTGATGCTCCCTGAAGCACTACATTTCCAGGGTAAAACTCATTCTCCAAGTGTTCAGGATGGCTCAACCCTTCTCTAGGGAAGTTTAGCTGACTTGTCTGTCTGACCTCTGTTTATCTGATGACTTCACACCAATCACCCTGGCTGCAATAGGTTCCTTTCAACAAAAGCTCAGAGCACCAGCTAAGTGTTATGACATAATACAGCTTATTCTGCTTTCAGTATTACTTTTGACACAGAGAATTCAGTTTCTGAATTCCCTCTAGAATTTATGATAATGATCTTGTACATAATAGAAGAAAACAGGCTCCTAGCTCCAGGTTCACATTCACCACTCTATTAAAAAAACAAAAACAAAAGACCCTTGAAGATTATAAAAATTCATTACATTTCATATCACAGAAAGACTCAGAGGAGGCATAATGGTCAACGTAAATTATACTGCTCACCTTATAAACATTTCAGGGGAAAAGAAAATATAAATAAACCTACTTGTGTTGGGGAATTTCCACTTGCTCTGAAGGTTTATAGAAGTTCCGTCCAATTTGGTACATAGACAACTTTTTTAAGATCCTGCAAGTATATATTTTTTTTTAGTTTTTGGTAAATATTAGTCAATAACAGTATAATTCTAAGTTTGTACTCATGCTGAACATAATAAAAAACACATAGAACATACAGAGGTCTTTTTCTTACTGCTATAGAACATTTAGATACTGAATATACGCAAGTGTCTGTATAAGAACTCTTCTTCACATTTGAGAATGATAACTGAAATCATTTTTATCTGTGTGGACTTAACTGCAATGATGACTAGGCGGTCATTTACCGCTACATCTGGTCATTAACATTCAGACTGGCTGTAAGGAGTGAGGCAAGCCATGTCTGAAGGCTCTTCTGGCCTGTTTCCCATTTTGAGAGGAGGCAGCCGCTTCTGCTGAGGCTGCTCAAGCTCCCCAGGTGCTGCCAAATACCTCTTCAGCAACAAGCCATGTTATTCCCGGAACCTGTCACATCACTGATATGAGGTTGTCAGTGTGTGAGAGAGATGTACAAGGTGTTGGGTCAGAATCCAAGTATTCCAACTCTTTGATCTGGGATGCCAAACACCACTGAGCCTTGGCCTCCTTACCTGAAAATGGGAATTGACGTAAGGGTACACCAGGGCCCTCCAGTGAGGATGGAGGAATAGAAAGCATAAGGGAAAAAGCTTTCTCACTGGAAAGAACCTTCCATTTGTCAGCTAGAGGGCACATGCCAGCTGGGCTTCTGAAGAACTGCTGTGTAGCAGTGTACCAAGGCCCAGCTATGACCGAAGGAGACTGCCCAAGACATCTGACTAGCATTAGGAAACAGTGCATCTGTGTGGGGGAAGTTCCTTTACGGGACCCTACTACTCAGCAAAACCCCAAACTTCCCTATTTTCATCCTTTCCAGAGGCTGCTATTGAACAAAGGGATGGCACCTAAGATTTCTGAATGGCTCATCTTAAAGTTCCACACTAGCAGAATGTAGAAGTGGCTCGTGTACTTTACAGAATCCACTTGTCCTATGGGAATTGTGCTGAAAATGTGGATTTAGGGGGTCCCATTCCATGAAATTCTGTTTACCAGGTCCAGCGAGGAGCCAGGAAATCTATACTTAACAAATTCCACTCTACACTCAAGATGACTTTGGAACACCTGATCCTTAGAACAGTCTGAAGAACAAAGAAAAAACCCCACTGTGGCCTTCCTTCTGGCCCCATGTGTACACACTGGAGCAAAAGCAGAAAGCAGAAAGCTTTTTAGATCCCACATCAACCAATGAAGAGTAAAATAGGACCTTAAGTAAGTCAAATATAGTGAACTTTTCAGTCAGGGGATCAGGAGTGGAAACAGGTTCAAGAAATAAAAGCAAAGGGCATCCTCCCTGCTGCCAATGAGATGGAAGTTACCCTCCAATTCTATATCTCAACCTGGACAATCCTGGATAATGGTGGCTATGCCAAGGGGAGGCTGTGATGACTATATGGCACATGGCTGCTTGTGTACCTGAAAAGTATGTGAAGACCTGCCCTCAATAAGCACTGTAAGGGCACACACACACTGCCTACCATGTGGTTGACCATTTTAATCCCAGGCTCCATGCTGAAAGGTGCCATTAGCCCAGATTAAATTCACATTTCAAATGCCTTACTTCTTGAAGATGATATTGAAAACTTGGATGCACACAGGGGAGCTTGATGGCAGCTCCCTCATAAGAGTGACAGTCATCTTTACAGTTTCACCTCTTCGAGTTTCACTTGATAATTCTGTGACCTGAAAAAAGAGGTACTTAAAATGCACTCTATAGATTATCCCTAAGTGTGCAGAATGCAGATATGATAAAATCATCACAATTCAATATGCATTAACAAAAAGAAAAATGAAGGTGTTAGCTATGAGTAGTAATCTAATCATCACATTAAGTTTGAAGGGGTTTTTCTTTCCCACCCCCTGTGTCTTACTGATCCTAAGAAAGCAACACATCTTTCTGCTCTCCAAATTCTTAAAGGAGAGTCAAAGCCAGGCTCATGGCTCAAAGATTTGGTCCAAAAAGAATTCCACAAAAATTGGGTCTTGACCTTTACTGTGGGGAGGAGGGGGGG